GCCCAATCGTGTAAGTACCAATAAATATTTCAATGATGATCATAATCTCTTCGATTCACTCACCATAAATCCATCATAAGCCATATTATTTAGTTGCATTTGGTGATAATGGCAATGCATCAAGAAATCGCTGTTTTGCTATAACATATCATACACGAGAGCATGACCGTCCGTTTTCGGATTTCTTACTGCTCACTAGTGTTCGTCGGGGAGCAATTTTTCGCACGGGGGAGGGGGGGAATCCCGCAGGGAGAAAAATTAACGGGGGGGGGGGTCCTCGCGAAAAAGTTGGGGAGCAAACTGCGCGGAAGGAGCACTCCCCGCGTTCCCCGCCGTGGTCCCCGACGGGAAGCCCATTCCCCGACGAACACTACTCCTCACAGTGAAAGGCAGCGGTTGGATGGTTTATGCATATATGGCAGTGGTTGTGGGTGCTGAATATGGCCTCAATATAGATTCAGATCAAATTGGATCAATTCAGATGGATAAATTTTCAGATTCGAACGAATCTTCAAAATCATTACTTCTCATTAGATGTGTTTTCCAAATCTCTTTCATTTTTTTGAGTAAACGATCGTTTAATTTGATCGCAGCCGGAAAGAAATTCAAACTTGAATGGAGCCAAACGATCCTTTAGTTTTTTACGATTTGGAAGATTGGCCAGCTGGTCTTTTCGGCCTCTTCACGGGGATTTCTTTTGATAAAGGACATTTCCTATCACAGATAGAAAAATTATCCTGTGNCATAGTATCCAACATCGGAAATTTTTCACTACCACAGTCAGAGTATTCTATAAGTTATTACATAAAATGTCGATAGGATTGGCCTTTGGAGTTGACACTTCAAACCGGATCGATCGGCATATTGCTGATGGAATTCTTAAATTTTGCGCAAGAATTTACGCAAAATCATCTTGATTACTGATCTATTGAATTCGATCATTTGCCCAAAAGAGTACCCAAACCACTAGCATGAACATCAGTTTATACGCTCAAAATGTTATCATCTTGTTTATACCTTTAATCTTATCACTTCATTCACGATGGAATTCATTCCTATCGATGCATTTACAATTCCGAAGTTGTCAATAGCAACAAATCAACATCTCACTATTACAAAACAACAAATCAACCACTAAGACGCAATATTCGTTTCCGTTTATGCCGTTCCATATGACCTATCCTCCTTTCTGTCGATTAAGTGAGAGTTTAGTGAATTAAACGAACCAGAACCAGTTCTAAAGGGCGTTCCCATCAAGTTACATTGTGCTGCTAGCGTTTTCAATATTGCCGTCTTCTGTTTCAACCCTAACGATCACTCACAACGCAAAATTACTGCTTGTGAACAGAAAATATGCGAACAGAAATATTTTCACTGAATGTTTTCTTCTCGGAAACTTACAATTAGTAACGAAAAGGTTTTCGTTTAACTTTTTCCTGCGTGGTATCTCGACGAAGACCGAACGCAATCACTGGCCAGCGATTGCTGGATTTCAAAGAAACGTTNGGCATTCGTTAACATTACATTCGACAATAAACATCAACACTTACACGTTAAAGCCATATAATCATCGTATCATCGAATGGTCTTGTCCGTTTATAGCAGCCGATTAGAAATTTCAACAACAACAACAACATATCATTTACCTTTTTGCGTTACATAACCTCAAAATAAACACCTTTAAAATTAGAATCACTAGTGATTTGATAGATTTTGTGGTCTCGAGAAGCATACTGGGGGACCTAGCCGTCCATGAATTTCGTTTATCGAGCAGATTTCCTGTTCAAGTCAGCTTACAGCTGTGTAATTGATCTGATGGAGAGATACTGAACTGACGAAGAGGACTGATTGCTCTGCATCTTTCGAGACTTTAACGCACAGTGCAAATGAATTTCTGCAGTCATTTTTTCAGAAACAATATTTTTATTGTAATGAGTTTATGAATGAAGTGTTTATGAGGAGTGCTAATTTGTGGCTATTGAATGGAATGAAATCAAAACAAAAAAAAGCCTCATAACAGAATAGGCATTTATCATAATTGAATTCTTTTCAGACTCTTAAACCATCAATAATTCCAAATTTTATTTAATAATCACGGAAAAATGTTCTCAATGGTTTTGGTTTTTTCTCAAATTGCTTGAAATGTGAAAAAATTATTTCTTATTTTCTTAATTTTCAGATGATCGCCCTCCAGATTTCTATCCACAACAACAACAACAAGGTAGGCGGCGTACACAACAGTTTCTTTCCGTCCACTCTTCTCAAATAATTAATCATGAACATTTTCTAATAGAATGCTGTTTTTTCCGCTTGATTATTCGATAGTTACACATCTTCAACAAATTCATTCCAGCAATGTTACATTCGCCACTCAGCACACTATTCACTATCACTTTTATTTACTGTTTATTTTGCTCTCATACAAACTATCAAACGAACACAACAGTCTATTGCGCTCTAGTCATGCTACTGAGTTGAGCGCTGTGTTCGTCTTTATCAAGTTATTAAGAGCGTCTTGATATCATATCAGCATCAATCAGTTGAGAACGCATGATAGCGTATTTTTGAAACAGTTATACGCACACCAACACACACACATACCACATTCGATATCGTGTGATATTCTCATCATGTACCCAATTCGTGCGCCTGACTCTACAAAAATAATACACACACACACACGCAAATATGAGCGTTCCAATCACTATATCGCCACACAAATAAACACCTTTATCATTGAATATTTCAATTTTTTACATCTCATTCGAAGATATTTTTGGCGAATGGAAGACATGTTTTTGCGGAGTTGTTCATCGTTTCTATCGCAATCGCAATCGTAAAAACGAGAGTGGAAGAAGAAGTCAGTGGGAAGCGAAATACAAGAAAAACATTGCGAGCAGAGAAAATTTTAGCAATTTGAATTTGGGATGGCTGGAGGGAACAATCATTTTATGCTTTTACAGGATCGTATTTTTGTGATAGATCGTAAATTTATTCAGCACACGCTGAATTAGCAAGAAATCTGCTGACTTTAGAGAGGCGCTGATGCATTTAGTCTGCTGAGAATTATTCTGTGCGAATTGTTGATGGCGGTGATTCATGTGTGCTTGGTAAATCAAAAAGGGAATATGTAATTTTGGGAATACTGATGAAACAATAGCTAAATACCAAAAATTGCCCAAGTGAATGTTTTCCTATCAGTGGGCTATCAAATTCAGCTGTTTTTCAGCAAGCTGTTTTCTGATTTGAGATTTGTTTGAGATCAACCAAAGGAAATGTATGATTCTTCGGGTTCAACAGTTGATATTTGTGGAAGCTAGTCACAGGATTGTTCGTTGTATTGCTAGAAACAAGCGAAATGAAAACATAATAGCATCACTGTCTGTTGCTTAGGAAAAGCTCACTTAAAAAATAACTATTTTTTGTACTTGCGATTAGTCAGAGCGATCTTCATTTTCGATTGTTATTGGTTTCATCGAAAACAGTGATACGCAGCAGATTGGTAGGGTTCGATTCTCGATTATGCGATAACTGATAGTGATGCATCGTTTCCAGTTATTATTCCCTCACTTTGCGTGCATCAAACTCGAACAGCAGCAGCAGCTGCCGCTTCACCATCAAAAAAGTGCTGATGTGATGTGAAGTGGTTTTATTTCTTGACGAAGACAGCTTAGCAGTTTTTTGAAAGCGCTGCGCTCTAGATGCACTTTTTCATTGCTCTCTGCAAAATAATTCAACTTTTCCTGCACACAATTCCAGTGGAACTCAACCGATATTCATTAGCCTCATTTAATCGGGCAACCATTTAGTGAGAGACATCGAACATCGTCCGATTGAAATGGAATCTTGATGAGAAGTTTCAATTAGGGAATTACATGTGTGATTGCTTTGCTTTGTCACACGCACATAAGCACACACATTCCAAACCATTAACGAAACATCTACATTCGCTAAATAATTCTACTCAATGTCACTAATTACTGGTTCCACTAATTTATCGCCTATAACATTTGCTACTCAATAGAGTCAGGTATCGATCACTATCATACTCATAATATGATCATGATTAATGACGAATGTTGTGCGAGCACAGAACAGAAAGAGCGAAAAATTTTGCACACAGCTCAGACAGTAACAATAAGTGCATAGCTACAAAATCGCACCTAATCCTGCAGTCAGTTGATATCACAGTTTACTGACAATTTTGCACAATTGGGCCGTAACATTTTGCTGAAAATCAACACATTTAACAATTTCATTAGTTGGGCGACTAAAACTTAAAGTTTGGCGAAATGAAGCAACGAGAAAGAATATTCTAGACATCATCGTGACGGTCTATCCGCATGAAAAGGAAGTACGTGAAGGAACCGAAGCCATATTCGATTGTCGGGCAAGAAGTGAGGACGGGAGTGTTTATCCTGAGGTACGATGGAGCCGAGCTGGTGGTCAGCTACCGTCGCATGCCCACGAAAGTGGTGGACGACTGACGATCAGTTCCGTGCAGACGTCCGATTCTGGCAGCTATTTATGTAGTGCCTCACATATGGGACAACTAAAACAAGCACAAGCACATCTACGTGTTCAGTCTTGTAAGTTTTTCACCACCAGCATTCCATGCGGGAATGTTACAAAAAGTGTGCACAGTTTCAATAGTTTGAACTAGCTTCTTGGCAATTCAGCTTCATTGCAACCGTTTGCTTTAGGTTTACGTTGTTTTCGAATCGTACGCTTCTATTCATTCATAATGGTCAGTTTAATCCACAAAAATTGAGATATAATAGGCTGAGTGAGATTAGTTCAGATTGTCATTTCAAATGAACATTTTTTCTAAGTCACAATTGAATAGTTACTGTGATTAGTCAACCACCTGATTCCTAGTATTGGTTTCGATGCAGTACAGCACATTGAGATGGCTGACCAGTCCGACTCGTTAAACGTGTTTCTTTAGAGGTGTTTGGATAAACTGATATTTTTAGAACTTAGTTGATAGTCGCCTTGCCATAAGAATATTATTTCTTGCCGTAGGACTATTATCCCACTTATCCGTTGCAATTCTCCCGTCTGAAATAATTTACGCGGCTATCGATCAAAAAACAGCTCAAACGATCCAAGAAATTAATACACCATAAATAAGTGAAACTAATCTCCGATCAAGTTTTCCATTTCTATCCTGTTTTCTCATTCGGCCGTTCTGAATGCCAAACGAACAATGAATGTGAGACTAGCAATTAAGAATGTCTTTAGCTGTTAGTTTACAACAACGATAAGTCGTATCGATATGCACAACAATCGCACTGCAACCTTATTGCAAAACGGCGGTTTTCACCACTAACAGTCACAAATTGCTCAGTTTTCTGCTTTCTTGAATTTCCGAGCACACTCCTTTACAATCCACCGAAAGTTTTTATAACTGATGACGGGAGAGTGAATGGGCATAGCAGCAAATTTGTAAGCGCAATAGATGAACAATGGATTCAAATTTTCTGTTCAGTTGTCATCAATGCCGTGCGATTTCTTCATTGACGGCGTTGCACTTGTGTTGACTTTTTCAAGTCGAGCGCTTTAGAATGGCCAAGTATGGCTCTAATGAAAGCTCTGATGCAAACAACAAAAATGCTGGCTTGATCGTTCAAAAAAGATCACAGTCATGTTTCTCATTGTGAGGATAGCATTCGAAATCATTGGCAAGCTCCAAAAAATGGATTGATGCGAGTGAAGTTAAATAACTGGAGGACTTGAAATGAGCCAAACACGGTGCTTGAGCAATAACAGTTATAGTGATACCAGGCAATAGCTTTAAGAACTAGTGATAACGGTTGCGATAATAAGGTGCAATGATAACACTATTGATGATGATATCGGATGGTAATGTGAGACTATTGGTGTGTGGAATAGCATTTCAGTGGTTGATTATGGAAGGAATTAGGATTTGTATTGAGGGCGCAGCGGAATGAGATGTTATTTTGATTGGATAAAGTGAATTTTAGACGGAGCGCAAGATGTCCAAGGAGTTCTACAGACGTCGAGTCTGTGTCGAGCAGATGAACGAGCATGTGGTAACAACGAATGCGTTAAGGCTGATTACGTTTGTGACGGTGAACCAGACTGCAGAGATCGTAGTGATGAACTGGTGAGACACTTCAGATTCTGAAACATTTCATTCGATACATTCATCGATGAAGCAGTTTGGAGTCAGTGTTTCAACTGTGAGGAATGGGACGAAGTCCGCGGAAAGCATACGAATTTGGTCCTTAAAAGAGCACCTTTCAACTGCAAAGTTCGGAAACACAGAACTTCTCCACTCTGCTCCTAGCAGATTCCAGTGATTTCGAATAAAACTGACAAGAACATGACAAAAATTACCTGGATAACCTGGATTGGCCAGACTATCAAACATATGACAAAAACAAATTGACAAAAGTGTTTGACAAAATAAACAAAATTCTAATCAATGACAAAAATATTGATTAGAAATTGGTTTTGACCTGTTTTCTTGTGGAATTGATCACAGAGATGGAGTCGAGGAACTTAACATATTAAGTTGCGGCAGGTGTTTTTGATTAGGTCATAAACAAATTGCGTTCTTTTTTTCTCAATGATCTATCTTGTTGTTTCGTCATTTGAAACGAACTGCTAACTGCTTCTCGTCAAAACGATTGCGTTTCATTGCAAATCAACCATATGTGAGCAATTCATCATCGTTAAACGTTATGAAATCGAGCACTAATCTAGAACAGATGTGAAATTTTATTACGTGATCATTTGTATGAGAACGATTTCAGTGGATTTATGATTCTATGAGCATTCTTCATGCTGTTGTTATCAATATTGATCTTCAACTGGCGAATCGGGTACAAGTGATCCCGAAATGAATTTAGAAACAAATGCATCAAATTCCGCAAAACTGATCCATATTCATCTAGACGATTGGTGCCCACGCTCAGTTGCTCCATTACCCCCTTCCATGGTCAGGCAGGCCGCCATTACCCTGTCCCTAACGCTACAATAATTTACTGTTTCCACGCATCACAGTCATAAAAACACCGATCCTCTCTATTGCTCCGTGACACCCTCAAATTACCCAAAAGTGGGTAATTCCCCAATGGGATCTCCTGATCTAGGCGTTTGAAAACAATTGAAATTTACTATGAATCAGTGTTTTTATGACTGATCAGGTTTATCACGTTAGTCGCCAACTAGTTTCAGAAAACACTTTTGAGCCAAACGCAAATGATGACTTGATACGAGCAATATACTACCCTGTTACCATATAAATACCGAAGAAACAAGTATGATGAATGCATGAAGTAGCAAAAAGGATTGCAAAACCACAGCAATTCGCATGTTATAGTTATAAAGGTTCTACAAAGACAACATGTCACAGATCACTGTGATAACTGAGATCAGTTCTGAGCAGTGTGTGAATTGATTGGACTAAATGGTCTCATTTGCTGAAGGCAATCTGAGCTTTCTGAAAATTTCAGCTTTTGGGATTTGTGATACAATATGTTGTAAAATTGTAGAATTGTCCATCGCTTCGTGCATGCGAACCGAACGAATTCAAGTGTAACAATGGACGTTGCGTGCAGAAGATGTGGCTGTGTGATGGAGACGACGATTGCGGTGATAACTCTGATGAGCAACAGTGCCAGCATAAGAAAGCTTCAGACGGTTGTGGTCCCACCGAATTCAGATGCCGCGACGGTCAACAGTGTGTGCTGTCCAGTTTCCAGTGTGATGGCACAAACGATTGTCGTGATGGATCCGATGAAGTCGGATGCGTACAACCGACCGTTGTTCAAGCCCCAGAAACCAATAAGCAGGTTCAAGCGGGTGGTACGTTCCAGCTGACGTGTCGAGCGGTCGCCGTTCCTGAGCCGTACATCAACTGGCGTTTGAATTGGGGACCTGTTTGCGATCCACCCAGATGTTTACAGCATTCCGAAGGTGGTTTGGGTACACTCACCATCAACGACGCTCAGTGAGTTGTTGAAAGGCTTTTTCAGAAAATTCATTCACAATGGATGTCATTGTTATAAAGGTTCTGCAAGGACAACATGTCACAGATCACTGTAATAACTGAGATCAGTTCGGAGCAGTGTGTGAATTGATTGGACTAAATGGTCTCATTTGCTGAAGGCAATCTGACCTTTTTGAAAATTTTAGCTCTTGGGATTTATTGCAGAAGTACCTCTGGATCATTACTATGTTGTGCTGGTCGCCGAAACAAATTCTCTGAAATGATTTGAAATTCTTTTGAGCATTTGATATCCCTTGAGAAATTGAGTTGTGATGATCTCTAAACGAAGTGGATTGCACCAGTATAGACCACTTTCCACTTCTGAAACAATCACAAATATGGTCACGTCGAACATATTTATGTCCGGTGCTCAATCGTACTCGTTGTTGTTGGTCGCTGTTGAAAACGCTTGCAAATTTCAGACCACTTGATCAGGGTGCATACACTTGCGAGGCTATCAACGTGAAAGGTCGAGTTTTGGCCACACCGGATTGTATCGTTCGTATTGTCAGTATACCATCACCAACCTACGAGCCAAGACCACAACCGCAAGTTCACTGCGATCCAGCTGGTTCAATGAGTCAACAGGTCGGATACGGTGGACAATGTCAATGCAAAGTTAGTTTCCGAGCGGTTTCCATCGATTCAAGTATCAGATATCGAAAAGTCATCTAAGCACTCATTGCTTTAGAATTGTTTTTGCGTTCAAACTACTTGTCGAATAAAACGGGAGTTGCACTGAAATTCTAACATTTGTACTGAAATGTTCATTTAGCCTCTGGCAACGGGCCCTTCATGTGGTCAATGCGTACCTGGATCATATCATCTAAACAATAAAGCACCACAAGGCTGTCTGAAATGCTTCTGCTTTGGTGTCACCGATCAGTGCAGATCATCATCATGGTATCGATCAAAGGTTTGACCTAAACAATCACTTCATTTTGCCACAATCTCAATCAAGTGAAATCACTGTCTGCGTTGAAATTTTGCTTCTGTCTACTTGAAAACGTCTGGAAAGTGAGCAAGTATTGACGACAGTAATATTTGCTAATGGTATCGCCAAACGGTCACAATAACGATCATGATGATGCAGTTACAAATTTTATCGGAACTAGATATGTGACTGTGAATTACAGTAGCAATTGAGTTGCCAGCAATAATCACACACAGAATAGCGACGCTGGAAAGATGAGATTTTCCGCAGATAAAGCACGCAAATTCACCCAATGAAACACAGGTCCTTGGCAAAAAAAGAGACTCCCTATCATTTGGTTACAATCTTACGGATTCTATCGTGCCGAAATCCTGTTTTGTATAAACAGCAATGATCATATCAGTGAGATAACAGCTACGGTTTCAATCATGAATATAATATTCTGCTCTCAATTTGATCAACTCTC